CCTCTCACTGTTGTGGCCTCTCCCGCTGCGGAGCACAGGCTCCGGACGCACAGGCTCAGCGGCCATGGCTCACGGGCCCAGCTGCTCTGCGGCATGTGGGATCTTCCCGGACCGGGGCACGAACCCGTGTCCCCTGCATCGGCAGGCGGACTCTCAACCACTGCGCCACCTGGGAAGCCCAGGGTTATATATTTTTTTAATCTTGTAAGGTTTTACTGAATGCAAGATACCATGTATCAAACAGTAGAGACTGAAATAAATAGTATTTTTGCCTGGAACTGGGCACACCTGTTCTGCTAGGATGTTAGGGTGGGGTGTTGAATCAGTCTGGTCAGGAATTAAGCTGAAATTGGATTCTGTTGTTGCAATAGTTATCTTCAGTACACTGCTTCAAAATTCTCTAATGTTACCTTGTGCTTAGGGTGGGAGCTGGAGTGCTGGAGGATTTTCCTCAATGTTCCTTCTCTACCTTCAGCTTTTGGCTATCCCTATGCACCTGTGCCACAGAAAGATTCTCTGTCCATGTTCTTGCCTTTCCCCAATGTAGCCTGCTATTGCTTGTCACTAGGAGAAAGCTAGCATGTTTATGGGGACCAGGGATGTTCTGTATTGTCTTGGTTTAGTCTTAGTCTTGAGTGGGGATTGGAGAGATCAGACACCTTGTGAATTTGGGGGAGCTAGGACTACGTAACACTAAAAATGAGACAAACTCTCTTCTCTAGGCTGTGAACAATAAAGCAGGTGATACTTTCATTTGTGAGCAAACTGAAGACAAGAGTTCAGATAAAAGGACAGAGGTAAGAGACTTAAAGAAAAGCAGTATAAAGTCTCCTTGACTGACCCAGACTCAAGTCTTACCTTACCTGCATCTCTTCACTTATACGAACTGAGAAGCATTTTTGGTTTAAGCAATTCTGAGCTACATTTTGTTACCTACAACTAAAAGCATCCTAACTGATAAAACCACCATGAGCTCTCATGATCTTCCTCTGGAAGTGATCGTAGTAAAGAAATGCATTAGAAGCCCTGAATTTCTGATGATACTGTGAAACCTGAACTAGCACCTTGGAAGCCAGGTTAAGCCAGTGCTTTGGTCACCCCATTCATCCAACGGGCTGAAATCTGACAGAAAAACTATGGTGCGCCAATTTATACTATTACTGAATTGTACTAGGAGATTTAAGGCTGCATGTGCTTTGAGACCTAAAGAAATTTTATAGAAAGGTAAAGCTGCTAACACCTAATTTATCTGTATTCTCTAGAGACTTTTTGATGCCATCTAATGAAACAGAGTGATCACATTATGAGTTCTTAACTATAAGGGACAATATCTCAGTAGTTTATTGCTTTGGTAAAATGTTAACTGTGAATTTTTAAAAATAAAGTACAAGAAAGACTAAGCCAAAGTTCTGCTTGCCACAGAAAACTACTGTATACAGGACAGTGAGTAATCTTTCACAGATAATCTATTAAGCATGTATTTGAACATATATGTATACAGACCTAAGATAACTGGATATTATGAAGGTACAATCCGCATTTTTACTAAACAAGATGCGTGAGTCTTCTCTGTCATTTTAGATTGATTTCATACTTTCTGTAGCTCCATATTATAGGAACACAGAGATATTTATCTAAACTCTTATTAATTTCCAATTTTAAAAATTACCCTTATGTACACATCCTTTCTGTTAAAACTGCTTTACCTTAAATTATTATTCTATGATTTCCAGATGGGTACGTACACTTTACATTTTGATACATATTGTATGACTCTTCTCTAACAAACTTGTATTTTTCACTCCTTCCAACAAAATGCATTGTTCTTGAAGACAGAGACTAGCAAGTAAAAGGAAATCTTATCCTAATAATCAATACATTTGAAAAAATGTTTAGAAAAATTCAATATTTTTCCTTTCTTTACTAAAAATAGAATTACCATATGATCCACCAATCCCACTTCTGGGCATGTATCTAGACAAAACTATAATTCAAAAAGATACATGCACCCCCTATATTCATAGCAGCACTATTCACAAAGCCAAGACATGGAAACAACCTAAATGTCCATCAACAGGTGAATGGATAAAGAAGATGTGGCACATATATACAATGGAGTACTACTCAGCCATGGAAAAGAAGAAAATAATGCCATTTGCAGCAACATGGATGTAAGTTAGATTATCAAACTAAGTGAAGTAAGTCAGAAAGTGAAGGACAAATAACATATGATATCACTTTTATGTGGAATCTAAAATATGACACAGAAGAACCTATCTATGAAACAGAAAGAGAATCAGACATAGAGAACAGACTGGTGGTTGCCAAGGGGAAGGGGGTTGAGGGAGGGATGGAGTGTGAGGTTAGGGTTAGCAGATATAAGCTCATATATAGAATGGATAAGGTCCTACTGTATAGCACAGAGAACTATATTCAATATCCTATGATATATCATAATGGAAAAGAATAAAAAATAGAATGTATATGTATGTATAACTGAATCATTTTGCTGTACAGCAGTAATTAACAAAACACTGTAAATCAACTATACTTCAATAAAAAAATATTGATATTTTTCTTTCTTTGTGTGAGTGGAAGAAGTATGGGGATGTGAAACTTGACAAAATTAAAGTCCTCCAAACTTGTCACAGATCCTGCCTAAGGACGTCTGAATTGGACAAAGGCTATAATGCCTAGAAATCAGTCAGATCAAAACGATTTTGATGGAAATATGGAGACTAAAAAACCAAGTATTGTAATTTTGACATTTATTAAAGAAAGTATATGTCATTAGTAACCATTTCTGCCACTTTCCAAATATTACAGTAAAACTCTGTCCTAACACACAGGGCAGGAGTAAAAATTCAATTATGTGAAATGCAGTGTTCCATTTTTGTAAAGTTAACCAGAAACATTGTTTTATCAGTTTGTACTGTCCTTTAAAGTGCACACAGGTGTACATACTCACAGCTAAACTTGAATGGATAGTATACTGTAGAGAAAGAGACCAAATGGTAAGAAATTCAGTTCATCCCTGCTTACACAAGGGACAAAGGGAGAGAACCAATCCCAAAAGGGTTACAACCAAATTCATGTAGTTTCAGATTGTGATATTGCTGATACATTTCAAATAATATTTACTTGAAGTGCTTACATTACTTGCAGTATTCCTCCTCCAAATACATTTTTAAATGACTTTTTGGAGAAAATAAGCTTAATAAAAATTTCAAACATGATACCTTTACACACTTTTAGTCATTTAGCAAAAAGTACCAAGCACCTAATATTGAGTTATGCAGTGTCGTGGCTTTGGAGACTTCACAATGCATGAAGCCCCTTCTCTCATTAACTTTACATTCCAGTGGACGTGGATTTAGGCATGCTCATCACTGTGCTTCTGTTAAAATCCTGACTATACTCATCTTTTTTAAGCCCTAGTGCAACAACTGGTTAAAGTAATGTGCAATGACATGTTAAAGTTCTCACAAAATCCCGTATGGAACCCCTTTCATTAGATGTCTCTGCTGTGTGGTCTCCTGACTATTGTGAATCCTGATGTTGGGCAGAAACATTACCTTTTCATGAAAGAAATTCTTTTTCTACTTTAAGAACTGGAGTGAATGGAAAATTTCAGCTCTCATTTGAGGACTTCAGAATGCAACAGAATACCATTTTACAGAATTTCACTTTTGTATGGATTCTCTGAAGAAAGATAATCCTTACCATACTCTTCACTTTTATAGAATGTATCACCACTATGGACTCTTTGATGAATTAGAAGACCTGAGCTCCAACGGAAACCCTTACCACATGCATCGCATTTGTATGGTTTCTCTCCCGTGTGGACTCTCTGATGAGCCTGGAGGTTTGATCTCTGACTGAAGCCCTTACCACACACCTCACATTTGTATGGCTTTTCCCCAGTGTGGACTCTGTGATGGGCTTGAAGACTTGAAAACCCACTGAAACCCTTACCGCACTGTTCACATTTATAGGGCCTCCCTTCTGTGTGGACCCTCTGATGTGCTTGAAGGCGTGAACGTTCACTGAAACCCTTTGTGCACACCTCACATTTGTATGGTTTCCCTCCTGTGTGGACCCTCTGATGTGCTTCAAGGCGTGAGCTCTGACTAAAGCCCTTCCCACACATCTCACATTTGTATGGCTTCACTCTGGTGTGGACTCTCTGATGACCTTGAAGATACGCTCTCTGACTGAAGCCCTTCCCACACACCTCACATATATATGGTCTCTCGCCAGTGTGGACACTCTGATGGCTTTGAAGGTACGATCTCTGACTGAAGCTCTTACCACACTCACCACATTGGTATGGCTTCTCTCCTGTGTGGACTCTCTGATGGGCCAGAAGAGTTGAGGCCTTACTGAAGCCCTTATCACATTCTCCACATTTATAGGGTTTCTCTCCTGTGTGAACCCTCTGATGAATTTGAAGATTAAAGCTCCAACTGAATCCCTTCCCACACTCCTCACACTTGAATGGTTTTTCTCCAGTGTGAACTCTCTGATGGCCTTGAAGGTGTGAACTCCGACTGAATCCCTTCCCACACTCCTCACACTTGTATGGTTTCTCTCCAGTGTGGACTCTCTGATGGCCTTGAAGGTATGAACTCCGACTGAATCCCTTCCCACACTCCTCACATTTGTATGGTTTTTCTCCAGTGTGGACTCTCTGATGGGCTTGAAGGTATGAACTCCGACTGAATCCCTTATCACACTCCTCACATTTAAAAGGTTTCTCTCCTGTGTGGACCCTCTGATGAACATTAAGAATTGATCTATGACTGAAGACTTTACCACATGCATTGCATTTGTATGGCTTCTCTCCAGTGTGGACTCTCTGATGATCTTTAGGTTTTGAATTCCAACTGAAGCCATTCCCACACTCCTTGTAAGGTTTCTCTCCAATGTGAATTTTCTGATGGCCTTGAAGATATGAATTTTGGCTGAAGCTGTTACCACATGTATAACGTTTATATGCTTGTTCCCTAGTGTGGACTATCTGAAGATCTTGAAAATGTGAGGCCAGACTGAAGCCGTTACCACACACCTCAGAATTATAGGGAATCTCTTCCATGTGAACTCTGTGCTGAATGTTACAATCTGAGTTACAAATGAAACCCTTCTCACACTCCACATCTGTGTATAGTTTCTCTTCAGTTTGGATTTTCTGATGGGCTCGAAGGCAAGAATTCTGGTTAAAGGCATTCCCATTCTCCTCAAATTCATAGGGCTCCCGCTCAGTATGGACCCTAAAACTACTACTAAGGTCTAAGCTATGACTGAAGCCCTTCTCACAAATGTTGCATCTGTTGGACACCTCTCCTGTGTGAGTAAGTTCATATGTGTTATGAGAGGAACACTGATTGACATTCTCACCATATTCATATTTAAATGTCACCTTGTCTGCGAGTACTTTCTGATGGCATTGCAGATGTGAACTCTCAGAAACACAGTTGTCTCCTCTACAAACACTTTGATGAGTATGAAGAAATGAACTGTAACTACAGTCCTTTCCACATGGACTGTATGTACAGGGCTTTCCTTCTAAGTGTAACTGCTGAAGATCTTCAGAACTGGAGTCATTGTTGAAGGCTTTTCTGTACTCATTACCAGGGTAAGGCTTTTGCCCTTTCTGAATTAAGTCTTGATTAAGCAATGAAACCTTCAGGACATCTTCTCCACAGTCATGGCAGCTATAGATTTTTTCTGTTCTGTGTACACCCAGATTATCATTGTGATGTGAGATCCAACTGATACTTTCAGACATACAGAAATCATTTTTCATGGAAATTTTCTGACATCTACACTGATAATTACGTGACTCTGTAAGATACATTTTCCTCCAAGAATGCTGGGCTCTCCAAGAGGGAAATTCTTGACTTTTTATGTCATGGGAACCATCTCCTATATGAGTCAATACGTAGTTCTCATCTTCAGAAATCTGAATCGGAATTCCTGCCCAAACTTGGCAGGGGGAATCGCCTTGTTTTTGCAGCTGAGAAATATTCTCTTGAAAAATTTTCACGGAATCTTGACACCCGGTTAACATGCCTGCACCTTGTTGCCAGGTCTGCCAGGTGGAAAGCTCTTTGGGAGAAAGGCAGCTTAATCCCACTTCTTGAATACTTTCCATAATATGTTGACTCTTGGTTCCTATAAGAATAAAGAGATTTTAGACGTGTACACAGTGAATGCTTTTATTCAGAGATTTCAAGATTTTGCACTTAGATGATGATATGCAGCTTCAATAAACTGGAGGAAAATTCATGTTACTACCTCTGATGATACTTAGAAAATGGCTCATCTTTGGCTACACCAGGAATATAAGTAGCATCCACAGAATTCAGGCTATCTGCATGCCTCAAAATCAGGGCTTTGCAACACAACCTGGACATCGAAGATGGTGGCCCTGTTCAAAATGCCTAGTTAAACCATACACATATTATCATGGGCTGCCTGGAGATTTCAAGAAAACAGAAGGGGATAGTCTCAAATTGGAAAGAGTATAGTTTCAAGTGGATAAATGCTTTCTGCCCTGATAGTAATGGGCATGGTAACATTTTTGTTTGTTTTTAAGAAGACTGCATGTTAAATGCTGTGCAAATGATGGTAAAAGTAGATCTTTAATCTATGCTTGAGGCATCAAACTGCCTATCTCTAATTCACTCTTTATCTTCATGAGACTAATAAGCTCTTCTAAGTCACTGTAAGCCATTATCAGCTTTAACTCCTTTCAAAAGATATTTTGCAATTATCAAGGGCCATGGTGCAGGTCAGAATGTAAAACACGGGTGACAGAATTCAACTCCAAAGACATCAGAAAAAAATGGAGGCTGAGGGAAGCATAGGCAAGTTTTATGGCACCAGTAGGTATCCTTTGTTATCAAACAAACAAAACTCAACGAACATTGACTTTGGCTTGCACCATTTTGCTGGAAAATTACTTTAATGTTTAGGGAATTTGAGGCTCCAGAAGAGTTGAAGATGGGTATGTCTGGGTGGAAATGGCTTGTCCCTTAGTTAAGAAAGCTCAGATTATCAGCAGGCAGCAGATCTTCATATCCTGGTGAGAGAAGTGTACTCCCTGAGGACCGGTGGTCCAACAGGGTTGAAGTAATAACATGCACTCTCCTAACACTTGGCAGTACGTTAATTCTCTTTCAGCATCCGGGGGGTGGGGGGAAGCAGTAAAAGAGGATTTTTTGCATAACATGAACATTATCCTCAAACATGATAATTCTTTGTGTTTTTCTGTCTCTCCACACTGGGGTGGATTACGCACAAGGACAAGCACTTCGCTGTGTACACAGCATTACCCTCACTGTCTGTAACACTCCTAGTGAATAGTAGTTGCTCAATAAGCACATAATGAATAGATCACAGCTTGAGTCACTCTCACTCACAGAACTGAAAGTGCATATATGTGTTATTTTTCATGGGAAAGGAATTGGTGATGGCAGTTTTACTGCAATGTTGAAAGGCTGTATGAGAGGTAGGGCTACACTCAGATATCACCTGCTGATGAGAAAAGCAAAGGTCACAAGAATCTTGTGGATTGTGTCTTTTTAATTTTGAAAATAAATGGTGTAGTTTTTCTTGTATAAAATCTTACCTGTAGCCCCACCCTATGCCCAATTTATAAAAAAATTAAAAATAAAAGGCCACACTGATGATTGCGTGGCAGCAGGAGCTGGGGCAGTGCACTGACTGCAGGGTAACACTTTAAGGCATGTCTATGAGTACTCATCTCAGTAGTACTTTAAAAAAAAATGCCAACCAACTATACTCCAATAAAAAATTAATTTAAAAAATGCCTAGTGATGTCTTTGGTTTCTCAGAAGCAAAGCTTTCAATTACTATATTAATATGTTATATAATAGTGAAATGAAGGGACACAGTATACGAGGCATGTCAAATAAAGTAAATAGCTTTACTTTCCTTTTGGCAAATGTGTCTTTCAAGGAATTGGTCTATTTCATCTAGGCTGTCAAATTTGTGGGCATAGAGTTTTTTCATAGTATTCCTTTTTTATTCTTTTAATGCCCACAGGTTCTGTAGTCATGTTCCCTCTTTCATTTCTGATATTAGTAATTTGCATTTCTGTGATATTTGTAATTTGTGTCTCTTTTTCTTAGTTACCCTAGCTAAGAAGCTTATCCATTTTAGGCATCTTTTCAAAGAACCAGCTTTTGGTTTCATTGATTTTCTCTACTGATTTCTTATTTCCAATTCTTATTCTTGTCTTCTACTTACTTTTCTTCTGCTTACAATTTGCTTTTCTTTTTCTAGTTTCCTAAGGTGGAAGCTTAGATGATTGATTTTAGACCTTTCTTCTTTTCTATTACATGTATTCAATGCTATAAATTTTCCTCAAAGCAGTGCTTTTGCTGCAGCCCGCAAATTTTGGTAAGTTGTGTTTTCATTTTCATGTAGTTCAAAATATCTTAAAATTTCTCTTGAGATTTCTTCTTTGACCCATGTGTTATTTGGAAGTGTATTGTTTAATCTCCATTTGAGGTTTTCCAGTTATTTGATTTATTGACTTCTATTGCAGTCTGAGAGTAGGCACTGCAAAATTTCTATTCTTTTAAATTTGTTAAGGTGTGTTTTATGATTCAGAATATGGTCTATCTTGGTGAATGTTCCATATGAGCTTGAGAAGAAGAGTTCTTTCTATTCATGTACATTAACAATGGCTACAACATCCAACTCTATGCCACAAAGCTCTCATTTCAGAAACCATTTTAACTCAGTCTACAGGGAAAAATATACTCCATACCTTTTTACTGTGCTTTGCTTTAGTGTGCTTCACAGGTAGAGTTTCTTACAAATTGAAGGCAACCCTATATTGAGCAAGCCTACTGGCTCTATTTTTCCAACAGAATTTGCTCATTTCATGTCTCTGTGTTACATTTTGGTAATTCTCACAATATTTCAAACTTTTTCATTATTATATTTGTCATGGTTATCTGTGATCTTTGATGTTACTACTATGACTCACTGAAGGCTCAGATGATGGTTAGCATTTTTTAGCTATAAAATATTTTTTAGTTAAGGTATGTGAATTGTTTTATTAGCATAATGCTATTGCACACTTAATAAACTACAGTGTAGTATAAACATGACTTTTATATGCACTAGGAAACCAAAAAATTTCTGACTTGCTTTATATGCAATATTTGCTTTATTGCAGTGCTCTGGAACTGAACCTGTAATATCTCCGAGATCTGCCTCTTTGAAAACAAGAACAGGGTTATGTGGGGTGGAGACAGAAGAAGTGAAATGCAGAAAACAAAGACTATTCTAGCATAAAATGGCCAGCCTATCACAGCCTGAGATCAGATGCCACCACTGTAAATGATCAAAAAAGTAATCTAACAATTATAAGAAAAAAGTAATTAAACATATGTATAATTTAAAAAACAGATGTGTCATATTTTATTAACAACATGCTATTTTACCCATATGTACTTTATGCCTGCAGTTAGTTAATGCAAATGTAGTAAGTTTTCTATTAAAAAGGAAATTCTGGCAAGGAATTGTAATGCTAGATCAACGTGATTGGCATGTGTAAGACATCATAAGGTATTTATGAAAGGTTGCATTAAAACTTAAGGTTTAGTTAAGGTTAACATATAAGGTTAAGTTACGACTTCGACAACTCTTAACCCAGTGATGTTTGATATTCTAATTAAGCCATAAAGGAATTAAAATTATCAAAGGAAATAGCTGAGAACAGCTACGTGAGAACTACTGACAGGAATGGTATTCAGACCTAGCTGGAACCAGCAAACTACCAAGGAAAGAGAAGAAAAAGCAAGATAATTTTCAGGGATCACCTTATTACTTGAAAGATGGAGATTACTAAAAGTAAGTATCTCCTGGTTAATGAAGTAGATGGTTTTGCTATAATTAGAGATGACACTGGAAATGAAAAACAGGAATAATCTGCTATGGGGAAAAAAAGAAAGCCCAGAAGCCCTTAGTTTATACAGCAATGATGCTTGCCCGGCGCTATGGACCGGAAACTTCCCTTTCCATCCCTGCTGGGAATTTCAGATCGCATCGGCGGCAGTCAGCAGCATTAAGGTATAGTGTTGGTAAAGGATCACCTTTCAGAGCCCCTGGGGATCGTGATGCCTCATGTCAGCAACGGGTGCAGGTGGCTCTAAAAGGTTGTTGACTCTGCACCTCTGATCAAATTAATCAGGCAATTCCATGAAACAGATTTTGTTTACTTATGTGGACTGACAAGCTGATTTTATGTAAACATGGACTACAAATCATCTTTTTTACTCCAAGTAAAATTATTTTTCTTATCACTTTCCAATAGAAGACAAAATTTAATCACTGGCAGAGAAGGCTGAAAACAGATTATGGAATATTACTGGATGTATTTGGAATGAATAGCCTATAACAGCACAAGAACACAAATGGTGGGAAACCATTAGTGAGGCTTAAGATCAATTTAATAGATTGTGACATGCAATTTTAAAAAGGACAGAAAATATCAGAGTTGCACTGCATGTCAGGGTATCAGTGCATAAATGCTTGTTTCAGACTTGCAGATATGTATACACACATAGGTCTGTACTGGGTTACATTACATACTGAAGGCCATGGCCAAAAAAGTATGAAAACCACTGGTGTAAATAGTTGAGGAAGGTATAAAGCTTGTAATGAAACAATTATAAGGCTCAAATGCAAAGTTCAAATGTGGAAACTTGGAAAAATATCAACAGGTAGGTTTGTACCTCTTAGTTTCATGCCTACACAGACTGAAGTTTCAAAATACTGGGAACAAATTACCACTTGAGATATATTCTTTCTTTCCCTCAGGATGTATGAAAGCTGAGAGTACAACTTCTTTTCCCAGGTTATAACGGTCACCTGTTGAAAATTATACACTAGATCTTTATGGGGATGAAGGCTTGAAAACTGTCTAAAATCTACATTAACATTTGTTTATTTAATGGCTAACGTGTACAAAATAAAGACGAAGAAATATATACTTATTTTTGAACAGGGGATGAAAAGAAAGACAGGGGCTGGTCTTCCTAACTCTTGTTTTTCTCACCTTGAATCTTCCTTGCCTGGCCTGAAAAAAAACTAGGAAATTTATGCAGATGCTGACTTTGGGAGAGATGGATGGGTTGCGACTTGAAACATCTTGCAAGAAGATGGACAGTTAAGAAGCCATTATTGGGACTTCCCTGGTGGCGCAGTGGTTAGGTATCCACCTGCCAATGCAGGGGACATGGTTCGAGCCCTGGTCCAGGAAGATCTCACATGTCACGGAGCAACGAAGCCAGTGTGCCACAACTACTGAGCCTGTGCTCTAGAGCCCGTGAGCCACAACTACTGAGCCCACATGCCACTACTCCCATGTACCTAGAGCCCGCTCACCGCAATGACGAGTAGCCCCCACTCACCACAACTAAAGAAAGCCCACGTGCAGCAATGAAGACCCAATACAGCCAAAAATAAAAAAAAGAAGCCATTATTTATTGACATCGTTCTCTTTCCTAGTGGAAATTGAGATAGTTCTTCCGCTAACAGAGTGGTTGTAAGACTATCATTTTAAAAATATTTCTTTGCCCATGTCAATTAAATCAGCTCCTAGAGGCTGCAGGAAAGTCAATGGGGATAATTATGTCTCTCTTGGTTACAACTCCAAAGTTAAAGCTCAGTAAGGGGACTTCCCTGGTGGTCCAGTGGTAAAGAATCCACCTTCCAATGCAGGGGACGTGGGTTCAATCCCGGTCAGGGACCTAAGATCCCACATGCCGCGGGGCAACTATGCCTGTGCACCACAACTACTGAGCTCACATGAGAGAACCCGCCTCAATGAGAGAACCCACGTGCAGCAAACTACGGAGCCCACGTGCTCTGGAGCCCATGCGCCCTGGAGCCCACACACCACAACTGGAGAGAAAATCCGCACACTATAACCAGAGGGAAGCCTGAGCACTGCAACGAAGAGACTGCGCCGTAATGAAAAGATCCCACATGCTTCAACAAAGATCCCATGTGCCGCAACTAAGACCTGACGCAGCCCAAAAAAACCAGCTCAGTAGGATGGTTTTTCTCTTTGAATCTCTGAATCACCAGGTAATTTATTCCACAGAAATAAAATCACTAGTACCCAACGACATTTGGATTGGGGTTTTTATTGCTGTACTTTCTATATTAGTAGTAAAAAAACAAGGGAGACGGCAGAGAAATGAATGCCCATCAATTAAAAAATGGGTAAATGATGCATGTCATACCCACATACTGGATTATGTAGTGATGATTATTTTTAAAAAGAGATAATCTCAGATTGGGAGGGATTTCTTGCTCAAGGTACCATGAAGGAGAAAAATTAGTATATTAAAAATAAGAATGTACATTTTCAAAATTTTGCATTAATATAAAAAATTAAATAAAAAGATATTTTAAAATATGACATTACATTCCTACTGATGCTATCAGGCAGGGGGACTGGCACGCTACGGCCCTAGCCCTGTTTTTGTGTAGCTTAAGAACAAGAATAGATTTTACATTTTTTTAAATGGTGTAAGAAAAAACAAAGAAGAATATGTGACAGAGACCACATATGGCCAGCAAAGCCTAAAATATTCACTATCTGGACCTTTAGAGAAAAACTTTGCTGACCTCTGCTCTAGAGAGTATATTATGACTCTGAATGTTAACTGAGATGGAAACAAAAAATTATAGAAGTGAAGTAATTTGTTTTGAAATTTTCAATTGACTCTCCTTCTCACCCAGGAACATCCTTAGCTACACAGGTGTGACCATGGCTTCTGACACCAGGGTCTGAGGACTCAAAAACATTACTAAAATGTTGGGACTCCCATATATGTCCAACTTGGAAGTTCCACTTCAAAAAGAAAATTACAGGCCAATATCTCTGATGAACATAATGTAAAAATCCTAAACAAAATATTAGCAAACTGAATTCAACAACACATTAAAAGGGTCATACACCAAAATCAAATGGGATTTATTGTAGGGATGCAAGGATGGTTCGACATCTGCAAATCAGTAAGTGTGATACACCACATTAACAAAATGAAGGATAAAAATCATTTTATCCTTCATCAAAAGCAAAAGAAACAAAAGCAAAAATAAACAAGTGGGGCTACATACAAACTAAGAAGCTTCTGCACAGCTAAGAAAACCAACAATAAAATGAAAAGGCAAACTACTGAATGGGAGAAAAATATGTGCAAATCATATATTTGATAAGGGGTTATATCCAAAATATAGAAAGAACTCATACAATTCAATAGCAAAAAACAAACAATCTGATTTAAAAAATGGGCAGAAGACCAGAATAGACATTTTCCCAAAGAAGACATACAGATGGCCAACAGGTTCATAAAAAGATGCTCAACAACATTAATCATCAGGGAAATGCAAATCAAATCCACAATGAGATTATCACCTCCCACCTGTTAGGATGTCTGTTATCAAAAAGACAAGAGATAACAAATGGTGGCAAGGATGTGGAGGAGAGGGAGCCCTTGTACACTACTGGTGGGAATGGAAGTTGGTGCAGCCACTATGGAAATCAGTATGGAGGGTCCTCAAAAAATTAAAAATAGAACTATCATATGATTCAGCAATTCTACTTCTGTGTATTTATCTGAAGAAAACGAAAACAGTAACTCGAAAAGATATATGGGGCTTCCCTGGTGGCACAGTGATTAAGAATCCACCTGCCAGGCTTCCCTGGTGGCGCAGTGGCTGAGAGTCCGCCTGCCGATGCAGGGGACACGGGTTCGTGCCCCAGTCCGGGAGGATCCCACATGCCGCAGAGCGGCTGGGCCCATGGGCCATGGCCAATGGGCCTGCGCATCTGGAGCCTGTGCTCCGCAACGGGAGAGGCCACAACAGTGAGAGGCCCGCGTACCACACACACACAAAAAAAACAGAATCCGCCTGCCAATGCAGGAGACGTGGGTTCGAGCCCTGGTCCGGGAAGATTCCACATGCCGTGGAGCAACTAAGCCCGTGCGCCACAACTACTGAGCCTGTGCTCTAGAGCCCACGAGCCACAACTACTGAGCTCGTGTGCCACAACTACTGAAGCCCATGCGCCTACAGCCCGTGCTCTGCAACAAAGAGAAGCCACCGCAATGAGAAGCCCATACACCACAACGAAGAGTAACCCCCGCTCACCGCAACTAGAGAAAGCCCGTGCACGGCAACAAAGACCCAATGCAGCCCAAAATAAATAAATAAAAATAAATAAATTCATACAAAAAAAGAAAAAATATATGCACCCCCATGTACACTGCAGCATTATTTACAATAGTCAAGATAAGGAAACAATCTAAGTGTCCACTGATGGATGAATGGATAAAGAAAATTCAGCCATAAATAAAAATGAAATCTTGCCATTTGCAACAATATGGGTAGACCTTGAGGTATCTGAAGACAAATGCCGCTCGATCTCTCTTATATGTGGAATCTAAAGTCACCACCCCCCGCCCCGCAACAAACACACAAAACCAACCAAGCTCACAGATACAGAGAACAGACTGTTGGTTGCAAGAGACAGGGGTTGGGGGATGGGAAAAATAGGTGAACTGTTGTTTTTTTTTAAGTTAAGTAAATTGAATAAAATTTTTTTAAAAAACTGTAGCTAGGTCAAGAGACTGTTTAGGTGTTAGGGGATGCGACGGTGAAAAGAGAGGACAGAATGGGAAGATAAAGAGCTGGGCATGTGAATGAGGAAGTTAATGCAAGAGTGTCTCCCTTGAAATTGCTGCATGGGAAGGGTCAATTATAATGTTGGCATTGATCATTTTTGATATTTCCTTTAGCTGACTGGCTATTCATCTTTTAGGAATAATGGCTACCTATCCATGAATACTCAAGGACACCTAAACAGTTAGAATTAGGACAGGTATTCATCAGTTGACAAACAAGATTCTGGAGTATCCCTCCACCACAATGATTTATTCTATACCTATTGCTGCCTCAAGGAGGACCGAAGACAGTGAAAGACCACACATGTATTAACCAATTCACTCAGTCACGGCACAGAGCAAAGCAAGCCAAGTAACCTGAAGCAGAAGCATAATACTGAGAGGTCTGATGGGCAGCAATGGGCCAGTGCAGCTGGGACAGAATGAATGAGCTAGAATATGGAAAGCTAGAGGGGGTGAGGGGACAGACACCTCAGGGCCTGACATTTTCTGACTCATGTTTCAGGAGGGGCTCTCTGGCTTCTGGGTCACTGCTGGATGGTTCTCACCTGAACACCCTTCTCTCTGGGTCTCTGTCTCCATCATCAAAAGCTCTTCTTCTCTCTCCAGCTGGAATATAAGCTCCGGTTTGAAGGGCTGATTCCCTGCAAAAAGGCGAGGACAGCAAAAGTTTTAAATTTCGACCCAGTCCCACTTGTGTGTTTTTTTTTTCTTTTTTTCTTTTCTGAGTCATGTTTTGGGGATCATATCTAAGACCTCTTTGCCTAACCCAAGGTCATGAAGATTTTCTCCTGTGCTTCTTTCTAGAAGTTACATTTTACACTATGTCTCTTATCCATTTTGAGTTAATTTTTTGGTAGGTGTGAGGCATGCAAATATATGCATACAGAAGTCCAAATGCTTCAGCACCATCTGTTGAAAAGATGATACTTTCTCCATTGAATGGCCTTGGCACCTGTAGTACATCTAAAATAGTCTCAGAATTGCTTATTCCATATCAGAGCAATAAACAAATCCACTAAAAGGTGTTCAGGATTGCAAGTCATTCTCCCATCCCCCTCCCACTGTACCTAAAACTAAGGGTATAGAGTTATACACTGTGTTCCTTAGCTACCTCCGTGAATTCTTTCTTTTCTCTATTCATTGTGGCTAAGGTATTAATTTCGAATACAATTCATTTTTCTTTTAGATTATCATCCCTTTGCCTTCTTATTTGATTTACTTTTCAGAATGTGTTGAACCAACATATTTTCAAAAGTCCAAACTAGACAAAAAGGTGTATTCAGACAAGTGTAAGTCTCTCAAACATCCCCTCCACACTATTACCTTCCACCCACTTATAAGAAACTAACTTCATGATTTCCTGATTAATCCTTCCTGTGTTTCTTCTTATAAAGGTCGGCAGATATTCATATATTTACTTATTTTCCCTTCCTCCTTACACAAACTAGTATACTATTAATGCTCTTTTGCACTTTGTTATCTTTAGGGAAAATTCCTACAAGTGAACTGGGAAAAGGTAACTCCATAGTTTGTTAGATATTGTCAAATTCCTCTCCTTAGGGGTGGTTATCGAGTTGCACTCCTACTTTCAATACATGAAAGTGTTTTATTCCCCACAGCTTTGCCCCAAAAATACAGTGTTATGTTTTTGAAGTTTTGCTAATCTTATGGATGAAAAACGGTGTTTCAGTATAATCTGAATTAACATCTCTCTTATTTTGAATGAAACTGAATAACTATTCATATGTATACATATTTATATCAATATGTGTGCATGTATATGTGTATGTATATGAATATACACACACAGACACACCCCTACCTCCTAGCTCTAAACCCTGAGACCAGGAAACAAAGAAACCACAGTGGCAAGGACAATCCCTAGCATCCAGACCTTGGTGTTAAATACCATTCCCCAATAAATGAAACAAATGATTCCAGAGCTGGGGCAAAGTAAAGGATGAGCCTAGGACAGCATACTATGCCCCCAAATAAGAGAGTGCTCAAAAAAAGGCTGGGGGCATATTACAAGGGCAAGGAGTCAGCTTAAAGGGGTCAAATTTGGAACAACTTTAGCAAGATAATTATTACAGTAATAAATTACAAATCATTTTTATAAGAGAATTCACAAGTCCCTACAAATAATAAATAAATAAATGGTTAAGAGAGAGGGGCTCTTGCTTTCTGTAGAATGCCAAGTGCTCAATGCTATGTGTGAAGGAAGCACGAAGTCAGAAAATCATCATTTGGTAACTATCATGGTAAAGACTGGATACGGCAAGAATCATCAATGGATGCTAAGTCTATAGGGAAATGTTTGTGTGGTCTTTAAAAATTGTTGCCTTGTGACTGCAAGAGGAAACAAAGCAGTAATCTTACAGTGGAGAAATTGGACATCTTGACAGGGTGATGAAAATTAGCATCACTAATGAGGGACAGATGGTGTGTCTCTAGATGTGATATCCTCTAAAGGACACACCACTACCAACTGCAGAGTTCCAGCCAGAATGGATCATCTGAATCAAATTATGAGGAAATACTAGGAATGCTTTATTAAAAATGGGGGGAGGGAGTAGCAGTATTCTTTAAAAAGTCAGTCTTAAAAGGCAAAGCAATGCTGTGAAAATGCTCCATATTAAAGGAGGCTAAAGAAACACTGACAGCTAGACTAGACCCTAGGCTGGATCTTGCCCTGGAGAGAGAAAAATATGCTTTAAGTTATATAATTGGCTCTGCTGATAAGATTAGGGTATAAATGATAGACTGGATAAAAGTACTATATCTGCACTGGGGATACGCAAGAGAATATTCCTATTTCTACAAAATATACTGTTCAGTGAAGTATTAACCTTGCCCAAGGAGAGGTCTGGCTTTTGCCCTCAGCCCTTGGGAGATGATCTCTAAGCACTGGCCATGTACTGCCTGATAAGAGTGTCTTTTTTTACCTGGAGGCCCTGGGCCACACCAGAGAGTTTAACAATGTGATTTATGGTGGGGCCTTTAGGCCATGTGTATCAGCTTGATCTCCAGGGAGTGAGGGGGCGGATGGAAACCAAAGTCAGCCACAGAGGTGCCCAACCACATCTATGTGACCAAGCCGCAATCAAAGCTCTGGACACCAAGGTTTGTGTGAGCCTCCCTGGTTGGCAACACTCCGCATGTACGGTCACCGGTCACCGATGGGGAGACTGAGTGCTGTCCACGACTCCACTGGGAGAGGACAGCTGGGAGTTTGTGCTGGAAACTCCCCTGGACTCTGCTCCAGGCGTCTCTTCTCTAGGCTGATTTTATTCTGTATCCTTTCCATGTAATAAAGTGTAGCTGTGAGCATAACAGCTTTTAGTGACTTCTGAGAGTTCTAGCAAATTACTGAGGCCCAGGGGACCCCCCCGAGCTTGCAACTGGTGTCACAGTAAGGGTAGTCTTGGGATTCCTGAACTCTGCATATACACTGAAGTATTTAGAGATAATAGGGCCATGGTGTACGTAAATTACCCTCAAATGGTTCAGAAAAAAATTAGGTATATACATATGTTTTCATACATACACATAAATATTTATGGAGAGAGAAAGAACACGCACATAAATGATAAAATTTAAATGGGGTAAAATGTTACTACAGGTGAATCTAGGCAAAAGCTATATGGGTGTTCTTGTTCTATACTTTTACTTTTGCAAATTTTCTGTTAAGTCTGAAGTTATTTACAAATACATTGTTAAAGCAAAAAATAAAATACCTGTGAAAAATCACATTTATAAGCAACTACAGTGGGAATTCCCTGGCGGTCCAGTGGTTAGGACTCGGTGCTTTCACTGACGAAGGCCTAGGTTCAATCCCTGGTAGAGGAACTAAGATCCTGCAAGCCGTGTGGTGTGGTGCCCCCCGCCCCACGCCAAAAACAATAAACAAAAACAACTACAGCTACTGGAACCCTGAAAAACAAAGAAGCTGGAGCAACTCACTAAACTGATTTTATGACAAACCAGTGGCGCAGCACCACAAGCTGCCCATTTATAGTTCAAAGGACAGATTTCTTTCCTGGACAGAAACATCTTGTCTCTGCTGCACAGGGATTATTGGGACTCGTAGGTACCCAAGCTCAAAGAATGATTTTAGGAGTCCCAGAGCTTCAAGCAACTGCGCACACAAAGACACACCAGGAGGCTGACACTGCGTCACAGAGGGCACCCATCCTCACCCACTGAGAGCAGGTTCCGGAAGTTCTCCAGCATCACGTCTCGGTACAGCTTCCTCTGGGCAGAGTCCAGCAGCCCCAGCTCCCCTTCGGTGAAGACCACGGCCACGTCCTTGAAGGACACTGGCTCCTACAATACCAAACACACACAGACTATGTTTATGGAAGAGGGGCAGCACTGAGAAAGTGTCAAGAATGGGAAGCTGTTCCGGATTCCGAGGGACTGAGTCAAATTTCAGTAGCTGCCTTCTGTTTGCTTTTCACACTGCCAATTCCATCCACCAGAAGGGCTGCAGGAAAAGAAATCTTTGCACTTTAAATTGCTGCCTTTTGTTAGTACTCCTATAGGTAAGTCCCTGGAACTCTGGTGCATCACGTGGGCTGCTAGAAAAGCTTTAGTTCCAACAGCGTGTGATGGAGTCTGTTTTCCCTCTTTTATACACTTACACCACTTATTTAATGTGCTGATCTTACAGGGCATGAGTCACCCTTACTGTTCGAGTATGTAGCTCCTCCTCTGTGCCCCATCTAGATGTGCAGCATTTATGGGCACAGCTCTGGAGCCTGAATGCCTGTGTTCACATTAGGAAGCTCTGCGGTGGGACCTTGGACTTGGTCCTCATCCTCTCTTCATTTGCAGGCTGTTAACTGTACCTTAGGGTACTGGTAATAAAACGAGTGACTAGGTAAAGCACTCAGGAACAGTGACTGGTACATAGTAAGTACCCAATAAATGATAACTATTATTGTGATGATGATGGATGATGATGATGATGATGACGACGACGATTTCTGGCATCCCACTTCAGGGCTGCATAGTAATTCAAGAAATTGATGACTGAGAATATAGTGAACTGATCCAAATAATGCATGCTTAGTTTTAGATTACTTATTATAAACAATGTTGCAAAAAAATCTTTCCATATAGACCTTAGTCCCTGGAATTCTGCTGGTTATCTCCTTAAAATAAATTACAAAAAATAGAAATGGTAATGTTGAAGAATAACAAACTTTAAAGTTTTGAAACCATAATGGCAGATGTTTCCTCCAAAAAGATTTTTCTTAACTTATTCTGCTTCCAAGAAAGTATAAATCCCTAAACCTCTATACCCTGGCCAACAATGGACATGAATATTAAAAAAAAAAAATCTTTGATAATCTCAGAAGTCAATTTGGGAAGTAAAACCTAGTTATCTCAAAAAATTTTCACGGAACTTCTCTGGAGGTCCAGTGGTTAAGAATCCGCACTTCCACTGCAAGGGGCACAGGTTCGATCCCTGGTCAGGGAACTAAGATCCCACCTGGTGTGGCAAAAAATTTTTTTTCACAAAGTTGATTAGTAATGAACATCATTCTCTTTTCATAGGTTTGCTGGTCATCTCTATTTCTCGTTTTGTAATAACATTCATTCAATTGGGGATAGTAAGGCCTTTTCTTCCATGTATGTTATAAAGATTTTTCTTTCTACCTTGCTATTTGTCTTTTAATTTTTTGCTATAGGGAAATTTAAAATTTCTATATGAAGAGCTGCTCAACAGTGTATTTGTTCTGGCTGGAGCTCTGAACATCACAACTTCAAGTCTTGGTCTCTGAAACACAGACAAACAAAAAACAAACCAGAATGAGAACTCTGGTTTGTTTTTTGTTTGTCTGTGTGTTTGGGGTTTTTTTGCCCCTCTTTCCACCCCAATGGTATGCCTGATAACTCTTAATCCAGAAGGCAAAGTCTTTGGAGTTGGCCAGATACTTGCCTATTGCGGGAACTTGAACAGGTTTCCACTTACAAGAACCTCTTATCTTCATGTTGACAGTGAAGATGATTCCAAGTCCCTCTTAGAGCAGTGAATAGCACGACAGATGGAAAGTGCCTGTGTGTCTTATAGTATGACTAAAATTGTAAAAGTAAGTACCCGTAATGCTCTAATAAATTAATTCATGAATGGTGTGACACACAGGCACACAGACACAGACACACACAAAGAAAGCTTTCAGGTCCTGGAAAGAAAGAATCTAGCTCTTTTTGAACGAAAACAGCTAACACTATTTTTTTCTGAGTTCAGCCTCAGTATGACCCTGTTAGACAAAACCATCCTTTAAGTAGTCTTTTTACAAAGGTACCACTTAAGAAAAAAAAATTTTTTTTAAGTTTTGAGTCCCTAGAACATAAGGACAAATAGTATCAGAATTCTCTCAGAATTGTTTTTTTTTTTTTTTTTTGCGGTACGGGGGCCTCTCACTGCTGTGGCCTCTCCCGTTGCGGAGCACAGGCTCCAGACGCGCAGGCCCAGAGGCCATGGCTCACGGGCCCAGCCGCTCCGCGGCATGTGGGATCCTCCCGGACCGGGGCACGAACCCGCGTCCCCTGCATCGGCAGGCGGACTCTCAACCACTGCGCCACCAGGGAAGCCCCTCAGAATTGCTTTTTGAGTAAAGATTAGATGTAGAGAAACTGATACTGTTGTGTAAAACTGAGAATCCTCATGAATTTAAAAGCTTGTGAATGACGAATAGTTAAAAAAAATGGGTGAGAGTGTATAACAGTTCATTGAAATAATATTAGATGACAAAAATTAAGTGCTATAATTTTAAGTGAAAAAAAATTCAAAATTGTATCTATTATTACAAGTATAGTTATGAATGCACATGAAAAATGAGCATGGAAAACACAGGTGATTTGTAAGCAGGGTAATAATGTGTGGGCTTTCCCATTTAAAAAATTCCTATTCTCTTTCACACCATTAGTTGTGAAATACAATGATAATAAAAACTGAAAAGGGAAATTAAAAAAAAATGAAACAAAAGAGCACGGCACACAAATGGTATTAAATGTCTGCTGTCATTCTTTATGCTTGGCAAGGAAGAGAAAAAAGGTGTCCACTTACTGAGAAATAAAATACCTGTTAAGTGACGGAAATAAAAATCCAACTCACCTGGAACTTGATCATCTTCTCCGTTTCCTGGGGAAAGGCAGAGACCTGAAGAGGCACAAAAGGAAAAAGAAAGAAGCCATGAGAGAGGGGGAAATGCATCTCTGTGCAAATCAGAAAAAGGTGTCCCTCCTCCCAGGCACACACACCTTCACAAGCAGGGTGTGGGCTGGGGTCCAGCTGCCACTAGGCTATCCTGGCAGGATGCCCATGAGCATAGGACAGCCTGCACCACCATACTTGGCAGTTCTCACACACCTCGAGGTTCCCCAGGTACTCATTCTGATCCTGGGAAATGTGGGAAAGGAGAGACAGTTAAGTGGGAGAGGAGAGGTACTGGTTAAAAGTGGCCTCTGGGGACAATTCGTTTTCAAAACCTCACATTGCTATAAAATTGCTGTATATTGGCACTGCTATATATCTGCTATATATTTTTAATCATGGTTAAATTAATTAACCTCTCTAGGTTTCATTTCTGCAAGCTGCAGCATTGGGATCGTAATAGTACCAACACTGTAAGATTGCTGTTAGGATTATGTGCGTGAGTAGTGGAAAACTGTTGTTAACTATACCAATGTTTTCTATTATCTTGTAGCTGCAGAGAAGCAGATACTATTCTACATCATAAAACTGTCCTTGCAGATGGGGTTGAAAGAAATCTGCGTGGCAGAGATTATGGCTTTTCACTTAATAAGTTGTTGCCCTGATAATAACATTTGTTTAGACACTGAGCCCACCCTTCTGAAAAGTTTAGTGGCTGGTGACTATTCCTCCTGAAGCGGGAGGAGGCTCAACTGGTAATGATACCTCCCTCTTCCCACATGGATATAATAAAGATTAAAGAAGCCCGTGATGCTACTATATCTGTGTAAAGCATTGGCTCACTGCTTGACCCTTGGGAGGATTTGGAGAACAGGAGTTTAATTTCTTGGGTTCTTCCTCAAGGTTATTTACTGTTCTCAATAGTTATTTACTGTTATTTATCTTATTTACTATTCCCAAGCAACTTCAGAGTCATCTGTGGAAGAAAAAGAACTCAAAAAAGGGCTAATCATGGGCTTCGTGGCCACAAACTGTCTCTGTGGAATGCTGTTCTTTTTGTTCTTTTTACAACCTTTCATATGTATTGGGTTGGCCAAAAAGTGCCTTTGGTTTCTAAGTAAAAATAAAAGACACATTTTTCATTTTCACCAAGAACTTTATTGAACAATGTATTCACCCTTTTGTTCCACTACCTTCTGCCATTTTCCAGGCAGAAAATTCCATCGTAATTCCATCTTCCCAAAACTTTTTAACTTTCTGAGCAAAAAACTGTCCCAGGTGCCTTTTACAGTCTTCCAGGGAATTGGAATTTTTTTATTAAGAGAATTTTGTAAAGACCGAAATAAATGGAAATCTGAAGGCGCAATGTCTGGCGAATATGGCAGATGAATCAGAACTTCCCAGCCAAGCTGTGACAGTTTTTGCCTGGTTATCAAAGAAACATGTGGTCTTGCATTATCCTGATGGAAGATTTTGCATTTTCTGTTGACTAATTCTGGACACTTTCCCTCGAGTGCTGCTTTCAGTTGGTCTAATTGGGAGCAAGACTTGTTGGAACTAGTTGTTTGGTTTTCCGTAAGGAGCTTATAATTGAGGGCTCCCTTCCAATCCCACCATATACACAACATCACCTTCTTTGGATGAAGACCGGCCTTTGGTGTGGTTGGTGGTGGTTTATTTCACTTGCTCCACAATCTCCTCCATTCCACATTATTGTACAGTATCCATTTTTCATTGTCCGTCACAATTTGTTTTAAAAACGGAACATTTTCATTACGTTTAAGTAGAGAATCGCATGCAGAAATATGGTCAAGAAGGTTTTTTTTCATTTAACTTACACGGAAGCCAAACATCAAAGCGATTAACATAACCAAGCTGGCGCAAATGATTTTCAATGCTTGATTTGGATATTTTGAGTATGTCGGCTATCTCCCGCGTGGTGTAACGTTGATTGTTCTCAATTAATGTATCGATTTGTTCGCTATCAACTTCAACCAGTCTACCCAACCGGGGAGCCTCGTCTAGCAAGAAATCTCCAGTATGAAACTTCGCAAACCACTTTTGACACATCTGATCAGTCACAGCACCTTCTCCATACAGTGCAAAAATCTTTTTTCACGTTTCAGTTACGTTTTTACCTTTCTTGAAATAATAAAGCGTAATATGCCAAAGATGTTTCTTTTCCTTCCATCTTCAATATTAAAATGACTACACAAAAATTCATAAGCCTTTTTATAAATGCACACTGATATGACAGCTGTTACATACAATCTAACAAAATTGTTTCGAATGAAGTTAAAGACAACTAAGGGCTACTAGAGCCATCTTACAGAAAAAAACCGAATGAACCTTTTGGCCAACCCAATAAGAACCATTCTTAGCTGGGGAGGAAAAGGGGATTTACAAAAATAAGCCATGGGCAGTAGTTTGCCCACCTGCATCCTTGACCCTGTTACCTTTTAACACTCAGCTGCTCCAGGATACCTTTTAACAGGTTTGGCTGCAGCCTTATTAATTCCTAAAACCCACTTTGCCAGTCTAATAAAAGCAGGGCTTTGCCCAAGAGCCCAGGCTATAGAATCAGGCCACCAAGCTTCAATCTTGATTCTGCCACTTACTGGCAAAGTAAACTTTTACTAGTTAATTAACCTCTTGATGCCTCTGTTTCTTCATCTGTAAAATGGAAATAAAAATAGGGTTATTATGAAGAACAGATGAGTTAATGCACCAAAACATTAGAAAGCCAGTGAGGTTCATAATAAACACCTAATAAATGTTAGCTATTACTTGTATCATCCTCATTATCACCATGAAATATACAGAAGCCACACATTAGCCTTGGTTTGTTTCTAAGTATATTTACTTTAGGTAGTAATTATCAATAGGTGTATATTACCCTTGGAATATTCTGAAAAAGCTGGTGGCTTTGGCATGCCACCAAAACTTATTGAGATAAAGGACAGGGAATAGTTATACTGTTTATTCTCCCACATGCATTTTCAGAAAATTTGAACACAGTCTCACATAGCTGAAGGTTCCTATTTTCTGCTGCTTGTTGGAAAACTACACCAACCCCAAACAGATACTGAATAACTCTTTTCTGCTAATCCCTATATTTGGCAATAAGCACAATGAGAACTTGACCTAGTCCCTGCTACATAGAAACCTGCAACTGAGTGGGAGAAACAGATCAGAAACAAGGAGCAGAAACTCCAGTGAACTCAGACAGGTCAACAGAAATTGCTAAACCTGAAGCTTATGAAAGTAATGTGCACTCTGTTGTATTGATAGCATGTTCTAGAAATGTCAGCAAGGTCAAATTGGTTAATGGCATTGTTCAGGTAGGAATAATCAGTTTTGTATTCTTAATGAGTTTCAGCATGCTTGTATTGATTACTGAGAAGAGTGTTGAAATCTCCATATTTAATTGTGGATTTCTCTATCTCTTGTTTCAGTTCTGTCAGATTTTCTTCATGTAGTTTGAAGCTCCGTTGTTTTCTGGATACACATTTAGGATTATGTCTACGTGGTGAATTGACGCTTGGTGTAATGTCCCTACCTCTCCCTGGTAATAGTCCTTGTTCTGAAGTCTATTTTGTCTGATATTAATATAGTCACTCCAGCCTTTTTTGATTAATGTTTGCATGGTACTTTTTTTAAAATCCTTTTAACATATCTATATCCTTATAGCTAAAGTGGGGCTCCTTTAGACAGCATATACTCAGTTTTTGTTCTTTATCCAATCTTAACAATCTTTTAAAATTAGCATATTTAGGTCATTAGCATCTCATGTAATTTTTAATATGGTCAGATTTAAGTCTACCATTTTATTATTTTTCCTTGTTTTTCCTTCATGATTTTCTTCCTCTATGACCCTTTTTCTGCCCTCTTTTGGGTCGAATTTTTTTGGAATTAAATTCATCTCTTTTTATCTATTAGTTTTTGGCTATTATCACCTTTTTTTTTTTTCCTCCTCCAGGGTTGCAATATACATATCTTTCACAGTATACTTAGTGTTATTATTTTACCAATTCCCCCGTTCTTGAATTAGGTGTCATATGTATTCTCTATATACAGTGCTCTAGCCAAGAAAGCTATAATTTTTATTTTAAACAGTTGCATTTTTAAGAGGAGAAAAACAATATTTTATATTTACAAAAGAACGTACTATTTTTGTTACTCTTTTTTCATTTCTGAAGTTCCTAGTTTCCATTTGGTATCATTTCTGTTCAACCTAAAGAAATTCCTTTAACACTCCTTTTTAGCACAGGTGTGACATTTCCCCCCTTCTTCCTGAAGGAAATTTTCACTGGATATATAATTCTGAGTTGACGATTTGTTTAAGCACCTCAAAGATGCTGTTCCAATGTTTTCTGGCCTACATGATTTCCAATGAGAAATCTGCAAATGGATGAATCATTGTTCTACCACATATTTTCTCTAAGTGTACTCAAGAATTTTTATCTTTAACTTTCAGAAGTTTATGATGTATCCAGAAGTGATATTTTCTCTATTATAGCATTAAACAAGAAATGAATAACAAAAAGATATCTGGACAATCTCCAAACATTTAGAAATTAAACAGCATACTTCTAGCAACCAATGGACAAAGTCATAAAAGAAAGTAGAGCAGGGACTTCCCTGATGGCACAGTGGTTAAGACTCTGCGCTCCCAATGCAGGGGACCCAGGTTTGACCCCTGGTCAGGGAACTAGATCCCACATGCATGCCACAACTAAGAGTTCACATGCCACAACCAAGGAGCCTGCATGCCGCAATTAAGGAGCTGGTGAGCCGCAACTCAGAAGCCCACCAGACACAACTAAGGAGCCCTCGAGCTGCAACTAAAGAAGCCCACCTGCCGCAACTAAGGAGCCTGCCTGCCACAACTAAGACCCAGTGCAGCCAAAGAAAGAAAGAGCATATTTTGAATGGAATGAAAATGAAGACACAACATATCAAAATGTATGAGATGCTGCCAAAGCAGATATTATTTTTAA